AGCTGGAGCAAACAACCCTAAAATTTATATGGAATAAGAAGAGCCCCCAAATTGCTAAGGAAATGTTGAAAAAGAAAAATAAAACTGGGGACATCACATTGCCTGATTTCAAGCTTTTCTACAAAGCAGTGATCACCAAGACAGCATGGTACTGGCACAAAAACAGACACATCAATCAGTGGAACAGAATAGAGAGCCTATATATGGACCCTCAACTCTATGGTCAAATAATCTTTGACAAAGCAGGAAAAAATATACAGTGGAAAAAAGTCTCTTCAATAAATGGTGCTGGGAAAATTGGACAGCTATATGTAGAAGAATGAAACTCGATCATTCTCTTACACCATACACAAAGATAAACTCGAAATGGATAAAAGACCTCAATGTGAGGCAGGAATCTATCAGAATCCTAGAGGAGAACATAGGCAGTAACCTCTTCAACATCAGCCACAGCAACTTCTTTTAAGATAGGTCTCCAAAGGCAAAGGAAACAAAAATGAAAATGAACTTCTGGGACTTCATCAAGATCAAAAGCTTCTGCACAGCAAAGGAAAGAGTCAACAAAACAAAGAGGCAACCCACAGAATGGGAGAAGATATTCATAAATGACACTACAGACAGACAGCTGATATCCAAGATCTATAAAGACTTCCTCAAGCTCAACACACACAAATCAGATAATCACATCAAAAAATGGGCAGAAGACATGAACAGACACTTCTCCAACAAAGACATACAAACGGCTAACAAACACATGAAAAAATGTTCATCACCATTAGCCGTCAGGGAGATTCAAATCAAAACCACATTGAGATAAGTAACCTTACACCAATTAGAATGTCCAAAATTTACAAGACGGTAAACAACACATGTTGGGGGGCACCTGGGTGGCTCAGTGGGTTAAAGCCTCTGCCTTTTGCTCAGGTCATGATCCCAGAGTCCTGGGATCGAGCCCCGCATTGGGCTCTCTGCTCAGCAGGGAGCATGCTTCCCTTCCTCTCTGCCTGCCTCTCTGCCTACTTGTGATCTCTGTCAAGTAAATAAATAAAACCTTAAAAAAAAAAAAAAAACCATGTTGGAGAAAGGGGAACCCTCTTACACTGTTGGTGGGAATGCAAGTTGGTGCAGCCACTTTGGAAAATAGTGTGGAGATTCCTTAAGAAAGTAAAAATAGAGCTTCCCTATGACCCTGCAATTGCACTACTGGGTATTTACCCCAAAAATACAGATGTAGTGAAAAGAAGTGCCATTCATACCCCAATGTTCATAGCAACAATGGCCACAGTCGTCAAACTGGAAAGAGCCAAGAGGCCCTTCAACGGATGAATGGATAAAGAAGATATGGTCCATATATACTATGGAGTATTATGCCTCCATCAGAAAGAATGAATACCCAACTTTTGTATCAACATGGACGGGACTCAAAGAGATTATGCTGAGTGAAATAAGTCAAACAGAGAGAGTCAATTATCATATGGTTTCACTTACTTGTGCAGCATTAAGAATAACATGGAGGACATGGGGAGATGGAAAGGAGAAGTGAGGGTGGGGAAATCGGAGGGGGAGACAAACCATGAGAGACTGTGGACTCTGAGAAACAAACTGAGGGTTTTGAAGGGGTGGGGGGTGGGGGTTGGGTGAGCCTGGTGGTGGGTATTATGGAGGGCACGTATTGCATGGAGCACTGGGTGTGGTGCATAGACAACTAATTTTGGAACACTGAAAATAAAATAAAATAAAAATCTTTTTTAAAAATTTATTAATTAAATAGTAAATAAATGTGAAATTCTCAAACAGTGTCATTTATATGGTAAGTCTTATTATGCCATCATCACTTAATGTAATAAAAAGATTTTAATTTAAAGAAAGGAAACTGCTTAACAATGAACTAAAGTACTTTTTCAAGTTTCTTCACCAGAACACAAACACCTTGAAGAACTATAACTATATTGCAAAACAAAACAAAAAACAAAAAAAAACAACTCACATTGGCTGACATCAACATCATGGAGTTGTACATAGAGATAAAATACCAGTCCAGGCAAGTCTGCTGTGTCCTTGAAACACCCAATAACTATAACAGTTTCTGGAGTGAAGTATATCAGAGTAGGAAGTTCTAGAAGAACTGAGGCCAGAGAATCAGGCAGTGACCAAGACCCTGTCACCAACACCATAAACTGTAAGACTAAGAGGGACAATGACCCACCACCATGGGAGCCATCCACATTCTACTTGTTGTAAGGCACCAACTCAAAACATGTTCCCAAAGTTCTTCCTTCAGAAGGCAAAAATTCTACTCTTCAGTTACCCTCCATGACCTGTTTCTATGAAATAACCCCATGTACTCTGAGGAACCAAGGTAAACCCACCCTATTTATTTACATAGATCCCTTAGTTTTGCTGTTAACCTGGTTTCAGTTGCAGAGCTGAGATGCATTAAAAAATAAAAATAAATAAAAAGAGTATGCTCTGGAGAAAAATATCATTATATTCTGATTACAAAAAGAACATAAAATCAGTAGAAAATTCAGAAAATACAGAGCAACAGAAAGAAAGGGCAACTGTAATTAGATCCTACTTACTTATCATCCCCCCAACTTGATAAATACTGTCTTTTTACTTTTACACATTCTGGTGGCTGGGTAGTTGCATTTGCAATTTAATTTTTCATTTAATTTATTTTAAATTTTAATTTATCAACTTATTGATTTGATCTATTTCTCTGGTAATTACTGATGTTAGTATTTTCCCATGTATTTCTTGGCCATGTAATTTTTTGAAGTATCTGTTCAAATCTTTTGCCCATTTTTCTCTTAGCGTGTTAGTCTTTTTCTCATGGATTTGAAAGAGTTCTGTGTATAACATGGATATGAGTCTTTTGACAAATACCTCCTCTGACTTTGTAGATTGCCTTTTTACTCTCTTAATGTGTTTTTGACAAACATAATTCTTCATTTTAATCTAATTTTGTGATTGTTTTCCTTTATGGTCTATGTTTGTTTGAGTCTATTTAATGAAGCTTGGCTTTTCCAAAGGTCATAGAAATGTTCTCTCATGTTTCCTTCTAAAAGCTTTATTGTTTTACTTCTTGCATTTAGATCTATATTCCACCTAGAATTGATTTTCATGTATGGTATATGATGAGGTGAGAATTCAGCATCTTCCAGCTGGATATCCAATTTCCAGCATTATTAGTTGGAAAGGTCATACTTTCCTCTTCTCCATTGCAGTGACACCTTCGTAAACCTGATGACTGTCTCTGTGTGGGTCCGTTTGTGGACTCTCTCTGCTCTATCATCAGACTATTTGTCCTTGCGCAAATACTGCACTGCCTTAAATAATGTCCTCTTATAATAAATCTTGATATCAAGTAGTTTAAGTTAAAATCATTCAGACTTTGGGCCATAAACAATCAGGAGATAACTTGATCTGAACTCATAAAACTTAATTTATATGCTAAGTGCATGGGAGACCAGACAAAAAGAGGCCAGAGGTGAACAGATCTCCTAGAAAGTTCTGTAATGTTACACTTCATCTGCTGTGGATGCGGGAAGAAGGAGACATGCATAGTAGTTTCTAACAATAAATTCTTTGATTGAATGAACCATGGGTTTATTCACTGCTTACAGTTGTAATCAGTACCTATATGTTAAATTTATAACTGACATTGTTAAGTAGAGGGCCTTCTGCACCCTTAGTTCAAGATGATGCTTCAGATGTGGATGATGGTGCTACCATAACCAGCGGAGAGCATGAGGCAGGTGAAACATGCAGTGCCAAGTGGCTCTCAAATTGGCGCAGCCTTAGCAGGTGGTTGGAAATGAGGGACTTCACAGAGAAAGATTGTGAGTTAGTGCAGAGAACTTATGAGTCAGCCAAGGTTCCAAGATTTAACAGCACTGGAGTAAGTGAGCTTGTCAAAGAGAAGAGAACAGAATGAAGAAAAATGGATTGAGATTATAGAAAGAAAAAAAAAAGAAAAAGCTTTGAGATACAGGAGGAAGAGGTGCCAGTGGAGAAGCATCATGAGATTCAGAGTCAAAGAAGACAAGAAGATGTTGGCAGGAGGGGTGGCTGGGGTGCCTGGTTATACCTAAATTCCAGAAAGAAAAGCACGGGTTGGGAGTTGGCAGAACTATAGTAGCTCAGAGATTATTTAAAATGGGCATAGATTCCATTTCCTGATAGCCAAAGACACGAGAGAATATGATCTGTGTCCATGAAGGTGCACCCTCTGTAGGACAAGGCAAAGTATAAATAAATACACACTTAGCTAGGTTCTAGACTTTGTTCTCTCTGTGCATTTAGGTTTGGCTGAGTACACTTTGGGAAGAAAGGCAAGAAGAACCAGCAGTTTAAAGCACTTACTATGTACTAGACAAGGTGTTTTCATTAACATTCCTGTTTTTTAATCTTAAAACATTAGTGGGAGACAGGAACTGTCACCGACATTCAGAAAGGGAGTTAAGCTAAGAAGTCAAGCAAAGGAAGAACACTAAAGGAGTGAGAGTCTGTTCGGAGCTGGATGCATCTGCTCCTGAAGCCAAGTTCCCATTTTCCCACAGGTCCAAGTGTTTTAGATTCTCTGCCAGACAAAGGAGCTGCTGCAGCATGAAATCTGGGTTCTGCCAAGCTCAGTTACCAACAGGCATGCACAGATGCTGGGCAGTGAACTCAGAAGAAGGAACAGTATGTTCATCCAAACAGCCCTCAAGTTTGCATAAACTCAAGGGAAATTTGCAGAGAGGTCAAAGCTACATTTGACCTTGTTTACATTTCTTCCACATTAGGCAAGGTCACAGGGTTTGTTCCTGTTTAATACCAATACTTACAGGAATGACTCCAAATTACTGTACTGATGCAAAGCGCCACCCAAAGGGCCTTTACCTGCTGAAGGCCTTGCATGCCTCTGACACTAATTTGAGCCTCTGCAATTGTCATACCCAAGGAATGCTTTCCTGCTTCCTTGGAATGCACTTTAGTGCCCACTGACCCTTCATCAGGACTTTGGGCTGCTGATTCTCCGCTGGAGCTTGAAGGTAAGAATATAGCTTAAAAGAAATCCTTAACTTACTGATTTCTTTTTAAATTTTTACTATGGTAATATATGTACTGCTGTATAAATAGAAATTATTAACTAAAACCAGAGAGTATTTTAAGGAACCCAAAAAATAGAAGGTATTTGTAACCAATACAGACCAACCTAACAGTATAAAGCCTAGAAATTCAGGACCCAGAGGCAAAAACCTCCAAAATCACTGTCCTGTAATACCATCTCTCCTTCCCACTCAGATCTTCCCCTACATGTTGAGCCTGCAAAGGGGATTGGACCAGGTCCCTGAGCTCCAGCAGGGTTGGACATAAAAACAAGTAATTTTAGGACAGTGGAGTAAGAACTATAAAATCTACATACAAAATGCTACAAGGTCCTGTGAGAAGGCACTCTTTCTGTCCATGGAGTCAGAGACAGCTTCACAAAGGAGGCCATGCATTATATGATCTGACCTGGAGGGATGACAAAGCTTCCAGCTGGTTGCTCAAGTGGGAATTTTTGTGCCTTTGTGCCTGTAAAGGAAAAACTCTTCCTGTGCTCTCCTTCATGTTACTTAGATAGCAAACTTTATACTTCTGTGACCAGATTTGGGGTAGAGGGTGGAAGTTCCCCACACCAAGCAATCCTCCCATTCTCTGGATACCAGCCATTCAATTCTGACACTCTTTACTTGGAGATAGCATCAGATCCCACAGGTTAAAGGCTCAGTGCCACAAGACTGCCCCCCAACCCTGACTTCAGATGTCAATCACAAGTTCAGGTTAGAGCATGTGTTTCTGACTAACCGCCTTTACATTGAAGGTTCTCATGACCCCTTTTTTAAATTTGATTAATTTGCTAGAGTGCTTCACAGAACTTGGGAAAACACTTTACTTACTAGATTACTAGACCATTATAAAAGGATATAACTCAGGAACAGCCAGATGGAAGAGATGCACAGGACAATGTATATGGTAAGGAGCACAGAGATTCTATGCTCTCTCCAAGGACACTGCTCTCCCAGCAACTCCACGTATTCATCAACCTGGAAGTTCTCTGAGCCCCATCTTTTTGGGGTACATTTATATTGTAGATTATATTTTTGTTTTCATATATATATATATTTGAAAAAATAGAAATACATCAAAATAATAATTCCTAGGTGATGAATTTTTCTTCATACATTTGGGCTTATTCCAAATTTTCTGGTACATATATACACTCACAATAAAAGACAGGAGGGGTAATTTTTTTTAAAAAGAATATGAAATTTTCAGAAAGACACTGGCTGCAACCCTGGACAAGTTATTGATCATATGACTCCTAGCTCCCTCACATTTATGAGTATAAATTATTCCCTCCTAGTAAAATTGTAATATGAATTAAAAGAGGGGGTAAAAAGCTTTAAGAGATCTAACATAGAAGGACTGTAAAAAATGTTAATTCTCTCCTTTCTCTTAAAGTTGATCACACAGTAATTTCAGTATCATCCAAACTCCACTTCTTTGACATATTGTCAACACAGTCGCTACTTAACCCTTGAAATTTTTTTGAAATAGTTCATCTTTCATTTCTGAAAACACAGTCTCCATTCTAAGGGACTTGACTCGGTCTAAAAGTAGAAGCCACCTCAAAAACAATCCTCACAATGTGGCACTAACTCCTTCTCACCCACTCCCTGGAAAGGCTGGGTCAGATTCTTTTATTCGACTTCCAGTAAGTATGTACTATTACATCTCCTGTAAGGATCCTTTTAGCTCTAGAGTCATTTTATGCAACACTTAAAATGAGTTTGGGCTCTAAGCCCAGCACATGGCTATCTCAATAGCCAATTATTCTGGAGTAATATGGCCCACTACTCCTGGCTTCCTCGTTTTGTTCATTTAAAGCAAAAAAACCCAATTCAAAACATGGGCAGAAGATTGAAATGGACACTTCTCCAAAAGAGATATATGAGTGACACACAGGCACATGGAAAGACACTCAGCATCACTAATCATTAGGGAAATGAAAATCAAAACCACAGAGCAATATCATCTCATACCTATTAGGATGACTATCATAGAAATTTAAAAATTTTTAAAACATGTACTTAATAAATAAAATAAAGTAATAAACAGAAAATAACAAGTGTTGGCAAGGATGTGAAGAAATTAGAACACCTGTGCCTTTCTGGTGGGAATGTTAAAGGGTGTAGGCTGCTGTGGAAAACAGCATGGCAATTTCTCAAAAACTTAAATGTGAAATTACCATATGACCCAGCAATTCCAATACCAAAGAATTGAAAGGCATGTTCTAGCAGCATTACTTACAAAAGCCAAAAGTTAGAAGCAATCCAAGTGTCCATGTATGGATGAATGGACAAACAAAATGTGGCATATACACAGAATGGAACATTATTCAGCCTCAAAAAGGAAGGAAATTCTAACCCATGTTACAACATGGATGAACTCGAGAGACATTATGTTGAGTGAAATAAGTCAATCACAAAAGGACAAATACTGTATGAGTCTATTGATTTGAAGGATCTAGAGTAGACAAATTCATAGAGACAGAAAGTAGAAGGGGATGGTAGGAAAGGAGCAATGGAGTGTTAGTGTTTAATGACATAGTTGGGAAGATGTAAAAGTTCTGGACATGGATGTTGGTGATGGCTGCACAACACTGGAAATGTACTTAATGCCACTGAACTGTGTACTTAAAAAGGCTTAAATGGTAAATTTTATGTTATGTGTATTTTACTACATTGTTTTAAAAGTCCCCTCCATCCTCTGCCCGCTAGGACTTCCCCTCCCATTGCAAGACAGTATGGCCCTGGCTGCAGCATTGGAGGGACAGCTACAACTGAGAGAGGTCTCGGGGATCCCCTTGCAGGCTAGCACTGTGGACAACTGGAGCCAGATCCAGAACTTTGAGGCCAAGCCAGATGATCTTCTCATCTGTACCTATCTTAAATCAGGTGACTCTGGGACCCGGGGAACAACCAGACTTTGGCTTGCAGAGTCAGCAAGGGTTGTTCACATCAGTAAGAATCCCCCTTCATATGGTGTTTGCACTCATTCAAGGAAAGCTGCTCCTTCTCACTGTCCCATGACAAGGCGATCCTGGAATGCTTCGTGTTCCCGGGTTTATCCAGGGTCAAACATAATGGCATTAGAGAACCCAGCCTGCTGTGCTTTGTCATGGACTGCTCTTGGGTGACAGTGTTGTGTGGCTTTGCCTCTGCTGCTCTTTCTCTCCATAAGAGACCTTGTGGGTTTTTCCCGCATGGATGTCCACCTGTTGTGGCTGACAGGATCCTGACCTGAGGGGAGGTAGGACCAAACACCATCAGTCTCTACATTCCCTTTCCTCCCCAGGACACTCAAGACTGATTGTCTAACCAGTTTCTTCTTGTTGTCTTTTCCACTTGGGCCCCAGGCACCACATGGATTCAGGAAATTTTGGACATGATTGAGCAGAATGGAGATGTGGAGAAATGTCAGAGAGCCATCATTCAACACCGCCATCCTTTCATTGAGTGGGCTCGGCCACCCCAGCCCTCTGGTGAGAGCTCCCCACTTCCTACCCTGGTTCCTTTCTCTCTCTTCTTTTAAAAGTTTATTATTTAGAGCAGTGTTAGGCTTACAACAAAGTAGAGGCACAGAATTTCCCACACATGCACAGTCTTCTCTCCCAGATGGTGTATTTGTTACAGTTGATGAGCCTACACAGACATGTCATAATCACCCAAAGCCCATAGTTCACAACAGGATTTGCTCTGGATGTTGTATATTCTATGGATTTGTACTAACATACATGACCTGGATCCAGCACTGTACTACGATACAGAGTAGTTACACTCCCCTAAAAATCCTCTGTGAGCCACTTGTTCACCCTCCCTACTCCTCAACCCCTGACAACCACTGATCTGTTCGCAGTCTCCAGTTTTACCTTATCCAGAATGTCATATAGTTGAAATCATACAGTATGTGGCCTTTTCAGACTGGCTTCTCTCATTTAGTAATGTGCGTTTCAGTTTCTTCTATGTCTTCTCATGGCTTGAGAGCTCTTTTGTTTTCAGTGCTGAATACTATTCCATTGCTTAGATGTGCCATAGTGTATTCATTCACCTACTGAAGATCCTGGAGGCTCTCCTTCCTTTCTCTTCTTCTCTCTCCTGTCTCTGTCTTATTCTCTCCTCTATTTTGTCTCTTTTTCCTCCCCCCCCATTGTCTCTCTCATTCTCATTTCTATAACCATGTGTTTCCTCCTCCTTTTTCCCTTCCTGATTCTTTCTACATATTACCTAAGGTTATTTGCCAAAAGCAAATCACCAAGTAAAAAGGAATCTGCCTTATTTTCTTCTTAAATTCTCCCTCTGACCATTGCTGCTGTACAACACACAGAGAGGTTGGAGAGTTATTTATGGAACAATTCATTCTTTCTTCTCCTCACTCCACCCATACAAATGCTCAGTCCAGCCAAGGAAGTACCAGATAATTAGCAAACATAATGCATTTGCAGCCAACCATTTCTGTTCTGTAGGGAAATTTTTTTAAGGTAATACTCAACCTAGAAATTTTTTTCTTCACACCAAAAAAAAAAAAAAAAAAAGACAAAAGACAACCAAAATATGAAAGAAGCCATTCCAGCTGCTGGAAGCATTTTTTGGAACAAGGATAAGAGGGAGGCCTACTTCTCTATGTTTCAGCATTGCATAGGTCAGCAAAATAAAAAAAATTGGAAACTCACCTAGCTAGAGCTACTGAATTATAGACAATACAAGTCGGATGTTGAAGTCTAATTTGGAGCAATTGTGGACAGAGAAGAGATCTGATAAATCTACCAATGCGTTGAAATAGAATAAATTCTTGATCTGACATGCATAAGACCTGAAACATGCACAAGAATGTGTCCAAGTTAGAACAGCCCTGAGGCATTTGCTTGTCCTTATGGTTCTACTTACCCTGCTGCTCAGACTCCTCTGGTCCTCAGTTCCTGTCTATCTGATTGACCATTAGCTTATTACTAAGAGCAGCGCCTGGTCTGATGCCTTCTCTGAACTACCTGTGGGGCTCTGACCCCCCACAAAGGGCACTGTCTTCCTGCTTAACTCTGATCTCACTCTGTGTCATCAGGGCCTTCCATTTTTGTTGGTGTCTGGTCTTTTGATGCCTTGAGCAGCAGGATTGCATAATGGTTAAAGACAACCAGGGTTTAAGTCCTGACGCCACCACTCACTCAGTGACCTTTAACAAGTTACTTACCCTCTCTGTGTTACAGTTTCCTCAGATGCAAAATGTCAGTAGAATTAGTGCCTACCTCAAAAAGTCATTGTGAGGATTAAATGAGTTAATGTGTGTAGAAAGCTCAGAGCAGTGCCTGGCACAGAGTGGATCCTATTAAGTGTTAGGTATTATTGACCACCTCAAGGGTATGGGTTCCCTAGGTTATCCAAGCCCAGCTTTTGATCTCACATCTACATCCCACCCCTGCCACCACTGCCTTACTTCTGACAATTTGGGAGATTAGAGAGAATGAAAAGTCAAAGCATGATTTCTAGTGAGGGATTCTTGGCAGTGAGGAGCAGAATGTGCTGTCACTAAGTTAGCATAAGAAACAAGAGAGAGCTTCTCTCAAGGCAATGCCAGCAGCTGCAGAATTCAGGAAAGGATGATAACCAATAGCCCAGCATGGCCCATTATACATAAACCAAGATGGTTCTTTAAAACCCAAGGTGCCCCATGTCCAAAAATGTTACAAACAGTTATAGGATTTATGGTCTTTCCAGCCACAAATAGACAGAGGCCAGGTGGAGATCAGCTGGGCAGTGCTTTTATTTCAGGGTAGATGGTCCCTGCCACTGGAGATAAGGGCTACAGACTGATGGGTCTTGGTCAGGTATACCAACCATCCACAGAGGGTTCAGGAGCAGACAGACACTGCTGCCTATTGTGCAAGCTTGTGCCCCACATAGCCTCCCTCCCAGGCCTCCTTCCATACCACCTGCACCAACTTCCAGCTACAAAGCTGTTTGACATCAAAAGTATTGCATATGTGACTGCTCACTGAGAGCAGGGCTGGGAAACACCCCAGGAGCACCTGGGTAGTTCAATCAGTTAAGCATCCAACTCTTGATTTTGGCTCCAGTCGAGATCTCAGGGTCTTGAGATCGAACCCCCCAGCTCTGCCATAAGACCTAGCTTGTCCATTCTCAGCTTCCATCTCCTCATCCTGAAAGTGACAGATTAATATAAGCTCCCTTCCAGCTCTGAAGCTGTGGGAATCTAGAGAAGTGATGGTAATCTCTATAATCTCATTATGAAATTCCAAAGGAAAGTCAAGATATAAGGAGAAAGATGGGAGGTGATGGAACATTCGGGACAGAGCCCAGAATGTAACTTGCCCCATGCAATACTTGTACTATGCCGATGTTTTCTCTTGATTTACTTTAAAGGGGTGGAAAAAGACAAAGCAATGCCCTCTCCACGGATACTAAGGACTCACCTTCCAACTCAGTTGTTACCTCCATCTTTCTGGGAAAACAACTGCAAGGTAAGACAGCAACAGTTTCCCTTGGGGCTCGCAGTAGACTAGGTCTCCTGGGAGCAAAGCCCCCACTCCCTAACTCACAACAATGTCATCATATTTACTCCTCCACCATCTCTGAAGTGTTGACTGCTGATCAGCAATAAGAGCAGATGTAAAGTTTTCTCTGTACTCTTCAGGATATTTACCTGAATGGTTTTCAAGCAAGACATGGAGGCAAAAGTCAGACTGAATTTTTGGAGAGAACTAGAGATAATGAGTGTCCAGTGACCCAAGGGTGTGGGTAATTAAGAGTTAGAGCAGAGAAGAAAAACTGAGGGGAAAGAAAAAATTCCTGAAGATCATTTAAAAGGGTAAATAGAAGGAGCTATATTACTTAAGAGGAACATTTGGCCTTAGCTTCTGGTGAACTCTGGGCTCTTAGCTTTATTTACTTGGGGACCTTATTTATTCTGCACTCTAGTACCTAATCAGTCCCTGCCACACAGAGGATGTTCAAAATGTGTTTGCTGAGTGAATAACAAGCGAGCAGCTGTAGAGTGCATGCAGGTGAGGGGAGAAACTAAGGTGTTGGCCAACATTGGTAGGAAAGTTTTCTCAAAGGTGGGAATGAAGGGAACAAAGGGCTCGGAAGAGTGTATTTCTAGGGAACAATAGCAATTCTGTGAGTCCTTTCAGTGAAGTTGCATAAGGGAATAAGAACCTCCATTTCTGGATTATGACTGACTAAGTTCCCTAAAACCTTCTGTATGAAACACCTAGCAATAATACATAACACAAAAAAGTTCCCTTTGTAAGTGTGTAACTGAGATCCAGAGAGAGTAAAGGAAATCCCTAAGTTCGACAATAAAGAGGGAGTTGGAACTAGAGAAGAGGCCACTGAGACTAGAGCTGTGCTGTGGTTTATTTGATGACCTGGAGAATCCAGCAGCATGACTTTCAGTGACTACATGTGGTCAAAGCCCAGAGCAGAAGGAACCAGAAAAGTGAGGAACCGAAGGTGGGACAGCTGAAGGATTTCATCTTCAATGGATAGGGGGAGGGGGCCAAGGCAGACACGAGGAAACCTCTTTGCTTGACCTGGGCCCTCAGCTGCCCTGAGAATATGTGGCCATAAGCTTCTACTCTCAAGAAAGGAGAGTCAATGTTGTAATACTTGAATTGTCCAAAAAGCCCCAAGCTAAAAAACTAGCTTGGTGGTTACCATTGCCAACATCCCCAGAATGACCCACAGAAACAAACACAGGGAGGACATAGCCTCAGCCTGGGCAGCAGAATTCCCGCTTGAGTTCACCCCCTCACATTATAAAATACGCCAAGGAGCAAGCCAGCACAAGAAAGAGAGTTGCAAAAAGCGCAACCAGCAGGGTTATACCTCAAGGATTTCGGATATTAAAATGATCAGATATAGAAACAAAAGAAGAATGTTGAAGTTGTGTAAGTAAATGAAATACTAAATCAAAAATTTAAAAAGGACACTATTTTTAAAATGGAATTTCTTATTAAATTAAACAAATAGGATTTCTGTAACTGAAACAAGATAAAAGCATTTGCTATAAAAATTCAGCAACAGGTCTCTGGTTTGCCAACCCTCGGGTGGCTCTCCCCAGGGGATGGGGGAGGGCATGGTGCACACTGGGGCCTCGAAGGCACCAGGGTACTGGAGCAGGTTAGAAAATTTCGTGGGTGGCAGCTGGGTGGCCATGGGGGCAGAAAGCCCACCATGGTTGAGGGAGGAGGTGCCCCATACCACTTCATCTCCCTGCTTGCTACTTGGTCTGCTGGCCTAGGGCAGGGCTTCCACTCCTCCCGAGCTGCACCTGCAGGACTCACCCCCAGAAGCGAAGGCTTCTCTCCCTCCTGCTGTCCCCAGGCTTGTGGCCGTCAGCTTCATCACCACGGTCTCTGCTTTGGCATGCAAAGCACCAATCTTAGGAAGATCGTGTTCCTTGCACCTAAAACTACCACCACAAAACTGGAGGTAGAAACCAAGCCCTGACAACGGAATTTCATTTTGGTGTTTGTGGGATGTGAGGTTGCCATGAAAACAGCTACTGTTGCCATCTATTGTCATGAATCTTTCACAAAATGTGTTATTGATCACCTGTGGCTATTTCACATCGGTTGATTTGTTTCTTTCTTTTTAGCCCTTTCAATTTCTAAGGAAAAAAAAGAATTTAAAAAAAATCCACTCCCACACAAAAATTCAACGAAGTGCAGAATAAACACAGTGGAAGAGAGAATTAATGAACTTGCAGGGGGAAATGGGATGGAGTTTTGAGGAGAGAAAGAAGAGTCTTATGGCTGGAGGGGAGAAACATGAGAGGAAAGATTAATAAAATGATTACCAAGCAGTGATGGGCCCCTCACAACTGAGAAGCACCAGGGTCGTTCAGGAGGCAGAGAAGGTAAGGGTAAATTGTGGGCAAGAGCCTTTATTGTAGTTTCCAAGGGAGGGAATGGGTGAGACAGGTAATCAGGTTTAGGATTGGGTAGTTTGGTTGATTTCTGCAGGCTCCAGGGCATAGATGGCTGTGGTCCTGGCTCTGGGGTAAATAGAGCAAGTGGATAATAAGGGAGGTGTAGGCTCGGGACTGGTTGGCTTGCTTGTAAAAAGTGAGCTTGATAGTGAGTTGTTAATACCTGTAGTAATCAGCTAAAACTGGTAGGGGCAGTCTATCCAGGGTCTGCAAGGCAATAGCAAGGTAAGCAATGGTTCCGATTCAAAGCATCAGAATACAGAAAATGGCACTATTGACATTTTGGACCAGATAATTCCTTTGGCGGGTGGGATGGGGCAAGGGGCTGTCCTGAGTATTGTACAATGTTGAGCAGCACCCCTGCCCTTTATTCATTTGATACCAGTAGCACTGTCACCCCCAGTTGTAAAAGCAAAAACACTTCCAGGCATTGCCAAATACCCCCTTGTATGCAAAATCATTCTCAACTGAGAACTGTTTTAGGGTTTAAAAAAAAACCAGCATCCCTATGAAATGACTAGTCATGGATGTGAGGTAGCTACTCAATGAGGCCAGCTCAGGATTCATGCTGTCAGAAAGGGAGTCAAGTACTTAGTAGTCATGATGAGATTAAAGGTCAAATTGGGATAAAGGGAAAAGCTGGGAAGGTAAAAGGATACAAGGTTGTTGTCAAAATGAAACCTAAACAGGATGCTTTGAAGTTGATGAAAATAATAATAGAGTTGATGAGAACGGGGCGGGGGGGGGGGGGGGATGAGATCATGAAGCCATCCTGCTTTTCCAGGAAATGGACAGGAAGGTTTTAGGAGGATCATCAGCATGCACGTGGAAGTTTCTGTCTGATGTCATCGCTGCTAGAGAATGGTGGGAGCCTGAAAACTAAAGGGCCAATCAGGAGTCAGGCTATGTACTAGGACTGAGCTTGATTAAAGAGGAGAATCAGCAGAACAGCAGGACAGCCAGAGGAAGAGGGGGTCACCAGCTAAGTTGAACTGCTGGCAAAGGAGAGCAGAGCCAAGTGTGCAAAGCTGCTCTTGTCATGGAATTCACCTGAGTGAATTCTGTGAAAATTCACTTTTCTTACTATCTTTTGCCCACCTCTCTCCGTATCCCAAAGTTCCTTTATGTAGCTCGAAATGCCAAAGACTGCATGGTTTCCTATTACCATTTCCAAAGGATGAATCAAATTCTTCCTGACCCTGGTACCTGGGAAGAGTATTTTGAAACCTTCATAAGCAGAAAAGGTAAAGAATAATCCTTCACATCTTTGCTTGCCCGCTCTAGGTAAGTTCAGTTTAGGAATCAAGCATAACATTTTGGCCCCTTAGAAGGTTGTGTTCCTCCTTAAGTGTGTCCTACCTCAGACTGGGACTGGGAAGAGTAGGCTGACTGAGCTCAGAGTGAATACCCACAATCCCAGCAAACATCCTTCACCCGATGTGAAAGCCTTTATTCTGGGTCACTTGACCTGTAGAGTCACCTGCATTCCAAAGAGTATCCTTGTCCCAATATTTTTTATATACACAATATATACACAATTTATTATAGACATTAAATATGAAGCCACTTTAGGTAAATTAGATAAATTACTCCAAGGCTGTATAGTACCACATCACCCTCCAACTCAAACACATCAGGACTCGGGACCTATCTGAGGCTCTGGGTGATTCTTTTGCAGTCTCTTCTGTTTTGTAGACTGTTCTGTTTCCTGTGTCTGTTACAGTGGGTTGGGGTTCTTGGTTTGACCATATGAAGGGATGGTGGGAGATAAAAGACAGGTACCAGATTCTTTTCCTCTTCTATGAGGACAACTCTTGATTTCGATTCAGTCATGATCTCAGGGTTGTGAGATCAAGCCCCACAGTGTGTTCTGTGGGCATGGAGCCTGCTTGAGATTCTCTCTCTCTCTCTCTCTCTCTCCCCCTCTGCCCTTCCTCCCTTTTCTCTCTCTCTCTAAAAACAAACAAACAAACCAAAATGGGCACTTCTTTTCACACCAGAAGAACCATGATGTGCTACTGCTTTGCAACTTGTCTTCTTTTTTTATTAGTTTATTTTGTTACATTTTCTTTTATTTTTTAAGATTTTATTTATTTATTTATTTGAGAGAGAGGGAGAATACAGAAGGAGAAGCAGACTCTCCACTGAGCAGAAAGACTGAAGTAGGGCTCAATCCCTGGACCCTAGACACTTAACCCACTGAGTCACGCAGATGCCCCCCACCTTTTTAAAAATATTTTATTTATTTATTTGAGGGAGGGGAGAGCACAGAGGGAGAAGCATTTTGTTGCATTTTAGAATCTACAACAGCATCCATGCTAGTGAAACAAACCAAACAATACCATTTCTTTCCTCTTCAGATAATCAATAGCAATGATTTCACAAGAAGCCCTTCTTTAGATCCATACATATCTTTCTATATACCCTCATTCCCTCAGGTACATACATGTGCAAACAAAGATATATACCATGATGATGGCTAAATGTGGTCATAATATATACCTTCATTTACCAGAATATCAGATATACCTCCAGGGCAAGTCATGTAGGTCCATGTAACCCACTATTTTTAATGGTCTCATGTTGTACCAGAGTATGGATAGATGCATCATAACTCCTTCAACTATTCCCCTAGTGAAGGGCATTACTATTACTTTTTATTATCTTTTTGAATAATGCTACAGTAAACATCTTTCTATGTGTGTTCTTATGTCCTAATGCTTTTATTTCTGTTGCACAACTTTCCAGAAGAGGCAAAGGGAGGACAGAGTATTTTCTTTTTTTAACATTTTAATAGTTAACTGCTTAGTGAAAAAGCTCATATATATACAGTAGTATCTCATTCACATTTTCCTAAAAGTTTTTTGTTGTTGTTGAGATGTAACTAACGTACCAAAAAAGGCACAGCTTTGAAGTACGTATACAGTGAATGTGTTGAAAAACTTATGCACCCATATAACCAGCATCCCAATCAAGATATGAAACATTCCCATGTCTCAAAAGTTCCTTCTTGAGGAGATTCAACATGGCAGAGGAGTAGCAGATTGAGATGACATCACGTCACAGGAGTTCAGCTAGATAGTTATCAAACCATTCCAAACACCTACAAACCCAACAGTAGATCAAAGAGCAGAAGATCAGCAATTCTGGAAACAGAAAATCGACCACTTTCTGAAAGGTGGAAAAGTGAATCCAAAGCCACGGGAAGAGATACTGCAGGGGAAGGGGCCAGTTCCTGGCAAGCAATGGAGCAATGGAGCATAAAATCCAAACTTTTAGAAGTATGCTTCACTGAGGGCCATTGCTCCAGAGGCTAAGTGGAGGTGGAGCCCTCATGGGGACAGTGTGGTCTCCGGTCCCACGGGGTCACAGAAGAATCAGGGGTGTCTGAGTGTGGCAGAGCTCCCAGGTATCAGAGTGCAGAAGCTGGCTGCAGAGACCAAGCCAAGGAATGAGCTCTTAGCTTGGGTTACCTTAAATTGTGATCCGTCAGGCCAATGCTCTTTGAGCAGGGACCCCTGCTCAAAGTGGCATATCCAGGAAGATCCACCTTCCGCCACTGGAGGAGCAGTGTGGCAGGAATCTGCTGGGTTTGGAGATTCCAAACGTGGCCATGTGCCAGAGACAGAACGCTCAGTCACAAGCCAGGTGAGCTCGGAGAACAGCCGGAGACCAGGGAGATAGGAGTGATTGACTACTTTTTTCCAAGGGCACACTGAGGAGTGAGGCCCCAAGCTCTCAGCTCCTCTGGGCTAGAGACTGGGAGGGCCGCCAATTTCATTCTTGTCCTCCAGAGCTCTACAAAAAGCATTCAGGGAACAAAACTTCCAAATGTGAACCCAAGCAGATTACTTAGCCTGGCCCCTGGCAAGGGCAGTGCAAATCCACCACAGGAAAAGGCATTTGAGAATCACTACAAAAAGCCCCTCCCCCAGAAGGTCAGCAAGAATATCCAGCTGAGACCAAGCTCACTGATCAAGAAGAACAGTGGAATTCCAGAGGAGGGGAAGGGAAAGCATGGAATTCATGGCGTTTTCCCCATGTTTCATTAGTCTTGCAAAGTTAATTAAATTTTTTTAATTTTATTTTTTCTTTTTCTAATTTTCTAACTTTTCCTCTTTCCTCTTTTAACGTTTTTTAACTAGTTTATCTTAACAATACCTTTCTTTAAAAAGTCTTTGTAAACTTTCATTATTATAGTCATATTTTGTCGTTCATTGTATCTAACTTTCTTTTTTGTATACATATATGGTTTTTTTCTTCTAAAAATTTTTGGGAAACAATTTCCTCTAATAGATCAAAATATACCATAATCTTGAAAAGGGCTTTGCTCTAGTCTCCAGCCTGAACAAATCCTCTCCACTTTCTTTTCTTGCTTTTTCCAACCAAATTATCATACCAATTACTTTTTTAGAATTTTTTTAATTTTCATCTTTATAGTCATATTCCATCACTTCATCATATTTACCCTTATTTTATGTACATATATAAGTTTTTCTTTCTTTAAGATTGTGGGAGGTAGTTTCTTCTAAGAGACCAAAATACACCCAAAATCAAATGGATGACTCTGTTCTATTCACCAGTCTAATAGATATATATTTTTTAGTTTTTTTAATTTAATTTAATTTTATTTTATTTTAAACATATATTTTTATCCCCAGGGGTACAGGTCTGTGAATCGCCAGGTTTACACACTTCACAGCACTCACCATAGCACATACCTTCCCCAATGTCCATAACCCCAACCTCCTCTACCAACCCCCCTCCCCCCATCAACCCTCAGTTTGTTTTGTGAGATTAAAAGTCACTTATGGTTTGTCTCCCTCCCAATCCCATCTTGTTTCCTTTACACTTCTCCTACACCCTTAACCCCCCATGTTGCATCTCCTCTCCGTCATATCAGGGAGATCATATGATAGTTATCTTTCTCCAATTGACTTGTTTCGCTAAGCATGATACCTCTAGTTCCATCCACGTTGTCGCAAATGGCAAGATTTCATTTCTTTTGATGGCTGCATAGTATTCCATTGTGTATATATACCACTTCTTCTTTATCCATTCATCTGTTGATGGACATCTAGGTTCTTTCCATAGTTTGGCTATTGTAGACATTGCTGCTATAAACATTCGGGTGCACGTGCCCCTTCGGATCACTACGTCTGTATCTTCAGGGTAAATACCCAGTAGTGCAATTGCTAAGACATAGGGTAGTTCCATTTTCAACATTTTGAGGAACCTCCATGCTGTTTTCCAGAGTGGTTGCACCAGCTTGCATTCCCACCAACAGTGTAGGAGGGTTCCCCTTTCTCCGCATCCTCGCCAGCATCTGTCATTTCCTGACTTGTTCATTTTAGCCACTCTGACTGGTGTGAGGTGGTATCTCATTGTGCTTTTGACTTGTATTTCGCTGATGCCGAGTGATATGGAGCACTTTTTCATGTGTCTGTTGGCCATCTGGATGTCTTCTTTGCAGAAATATCTGTTCATGAATTCTGCCCATTTCTTGATTAGATTACGTGTTCTTTGGGTACTGAGTTTGCTAAGTTCTTTATAGATTTTGGACACTAGCCCTTTATCTGATATGTCGTTTGCAAATATCTTCTCCCATTCTGTCAGTTGTCTTTTGGTTTTGTTAACTGTTTCCTTGGCTGTGCAAAAGCTTTTGATCTTGATAAAATCCCAATAGTTCATTTTTGCCCTTGCTTTCCTTGCCTTTGGTGATGTTCCTAGGAAGATGTTGCTGTGGCTGAGGTCGAAGAGGTTGCTGCCTGTGTTCTCCTCAAGGATTTGGATGGATTCCTTTCTCACATTGAGGTCCTTCATCCATTTTGAGTCTATTTTCGTGTGTGGTGTAAGGAAATGATCCAATTTCATTTTTCTGCATGTGGCTGTCCAATTTTCCCAACACCATTTATTGAAGAGGCTTTTTTTCCATTGGACATTCTTTCCTGCTTTGTCAAAGATTAGTTGACCATAGAGTTGAGGGTCTATTTCTGGGCTCTCTATTCTGTTCCATTGATCGAGGAGTGTGTTTTTGTGCCAGTACCATGCTGTCTTGATGATGACAGCTTTGTAATAGAGCTTGAAGTCCGGAATTGTGATGCCACCGACTTTGGCTTTCTTTTTCAATATTCCGTTGGATATTCGGGGTCTTTTCTGGTTCCATATAAATTTTAGGATTATTTGTTCCATTTCTTTGAAAAAAAATGGATGGTACTTTGATAGGAATTGCATTAAATGTGTA